CAAGTGAGTCGTAATGGAACCTGTGGCTGGATTGAATCTTTTCGGGCATTAATTTTAGGAAGAAAATAATAATTGGGTAAAATAATAGAAAATTTCCCACGAAAAAAAGAAAAAAAGGGTTTTATTTATTTATTTATCTATTTTTTAAATAAATAATAAAAAATAGCCCGTGAACCCTTTCATATTATTAGCCAGCTGTCACATCAGACAACCGAGAGGACTCAACGACTCGAAGTCCCCTCAACTGCAAGGGCCCCACTAGTTCAAAAAAATCAATGATTTTGATTGATTTTATAAATTATTTCTTTTGTCTTTTTTTTTTTTTTTTTTTAAATTTTAATATTATATATATAAATGACTTTGTATCACAATCAATTAATCCAATCCATAACACGTGTGATGCACGTGATTTTATCATTTTATTTTACTACATAGAAAAAAGTTTTACGAAATAGACTTTGACCTCTCGGTTAGATCGTAGTGTTTCATATCTATGGTCTAGTCATTTCGAGTCGAATAGTTGTAATAGGGCAAAAGATATGATTTTTTTAATGTATTTCTACTGTTAGATCGTGATGTTTCATATGCATGATCCAAATCACACCCATACACACTGGAAGATGAAATTATTAACGGAGAAACCTCGTTAAAAGGGTTGTAAGGAATATTTTCATAAATCGATTACATTTCTAAATATATATGACAGACATTATTCTCGGATTTCAACGACAGATGGAGTCAATCTTATTACCCTCATCAGATCAGTTCAGGTTGGCGCACGACGCCCTCAGAGAAAGAATGTTTCCAGAGATTTTCAAAACTAACGAAGAACTAAAGCCCTGATCACGGATCAAGATGCAAAGCAGAATGCAAAAGAGAATCAGTGGTCAACTCAACATATAAACGGATAAGACTGAAGAATAACAGTTGATCTCCCAGCTGGAACTCCTTTTTTAGTTTTCGAAGATCAGTTGTGCCTAAAGTCAAACATCTTTTATTCATTACACGAAAAAGAAAGAGAAGTTCTATACGTTAATACACAAAAAAAATCACACCTACCACACACCAAGTCTATAGTTTCTAAGCTGAGTTTATGGACTTTTAAGAGTTCGACTAGTATACAAGTTCATTCACGTTGCCCTACTAAGATATGTATATAAGTCTATGAGAGCTCATTGCTAGCAGATATTGTCCTTTTTTGGGTTTGGTTTTTCCCTCTCCAACAAATGGGGGACAGCGTTCTTGCTTGCACGCTGCTTAGCGTCCGACTCTGATACTATTTGCAACATCTCAAGCCCACTGCTAGTAAGTATTGTTCTCTTTGATCCATTACGTATTGTCGTCCGTCTCACAGTTTAAATACGTGTCTACAAGAGAGAGGTTTCCACACCCTTATAAAAAATATTTCATTACTTTCTCCAACCAAAGTAAGATCTCACAATCCACCCCCGACCCAACATCCTTATTAGCTGGACGGTTTGATTAGATATAAGATTTAAATATTTATAATGTCACACACAAATTTGTAGCTATATTAATGAATAGTAATACTCATATGAATGTAGAGGATATCACGAGGGACATTTCCAAATAAAAATACTATTTGCATTAATTTAATATTTGTTTTTTATTTTCTTTTTTCTACTTGATTTGACAACGAATCAACCACTTTAAATATATTTATTTATATTTTTTAAAATCAGCCACTTTAATTGCTAGTTTACAACAAAACATTCTCTAATTATGTCGTTTAACTCCAAAGGAATTATATAATATATAATTAATTAAGCTTTCTCATAATAAACAAATATTAATTATTTAAATATTTATAATATTAAAAAAATTGTTTTTCTTAATGCGTTTATAATGGTTGTCGGTTGCGTGTGGAAAGTTAAAATTTTCAATATTTGAAGAGATACGTCCAATAAAAAAAGGGCAAAATAGTAATTTACTAAACGATGAAAGAGAACAAATCGAAAAAAAAAAAAAAGTTAAATTGTTGTCTAGTTTGGCTAGTTATGTATCGTACCCCTCTCTGACAACCCATCCTTTTTTGGAGTCCAACGTTCTCGTTAGAGTCACAATTGTACTCTTGCGATAGCGGGATAGCGATTGTACGACACTTGTTCTAACCTAACAAACATGTCAACTGTTGGCGTATGTTCGGGTCTTGAATCACGTTTGGAAGAAATGTTTTAGAAAACGTGAGCGATGAAATAAATTTGAAAATGATTTGAAAGAATTAAAGAAAGCAACGTTATATGACTATAAGCAAATAAAGGAACACCACGACTCGTTAGAAATAAGTGATAACTAATCATATCATGGTATATTTTGGGGCATTTTAGTCGTAAGGAGTAGACATGATTTTGGTGAACGGTCATACACTTATATTGACATAACCTGAAATAGTAAAAACATATATACGATGAAAGTATGTAAAAAGAGGTTTGGAACAGGCATGCAGTCATGGACAACACGTTATGGACAAGCATAACCGTGACAACCGACACATTTCCTAGTGTCTGGTTTTGATAGCATGTGTAACAACTCAAACCCCACCTATAGCAGATATTGTCTGCTTTGACCCGTTACGTATCGTCGTCAGCCTCACGTTTGTAAAACATGTCTACTGTGGAAAGATCTTCACATTCTTATAAGGAATGTTTCATTCCCCTCTTCAATCGACGTGGGATCTCACAAACATGGACAAAAAATAAGAACCCACAAGAACTCCTCAATAGAAGCCACAAGCCAAGTAAAACAAAAGTGGAACACATCATACCTAACGACCTAGAAATCACTGAAAAACATAAAGTAGAATCACGAACATGAGAATTACACTCGAGCCAAGATTAATATTGATGACATCGTTCCTAAGGTTTCACCGACTCGATTCGTCTCTCAAAATTCATGAATTAAATCACATATTTTCCATTAAAGTAATGATTAAAGAAGAAAATTAACAAATTTGTTTTTAATTTAATTAGCTTAGTGGAGTTTAAGGGAATGAGTTGGACGTGAGATGAATAATCAATCTTTTTCCTAAAATAATAATAAAAATAAATAAAAATTATACACAAATTAATCAAATCAATTAATCTCTATAATTGCCATCTTGTTCTTATTGTAAAATTCAAAATCCCTATTGGCCCTTCTCAACAAAATGTTATATCCACCCAAATTAATTCATTTTTATTTAATTCCATACATTTATACTATTTTTCTTTCTCACGATGTAACCACTCAAACCTATTGCTATTGCTAACAGATATTGTCTTTGACGGGCTTTCCCTCAAGATTCTAAAAACGCGTATACTAGGGAGAAGTTTCCGCATCTTCAAGCCGACGTGGGATCTCACAATCCACCCCTGCAGGGTTTAGTGTCCTCACTAACACTCGTTCTTCTTTCGGGTTTCCTCTCAACATTTTTAAAACGCGTCTACTACGGAGAGGTTTCCATACCCTTATAAAAATATTTCGTTTCCCTTCCCAACTAATGTAATATCTTCGTATCTCGTGTTTGAAATGGGTAAAAAATAAAAAATAAAACGAAGGAGAAACGAGCAGTAAGTCAAGACGACAAATCTAATCAAACTGTATCAAATAGTTCGTGAATATGAATTGTTTCGGTATGGTTTGATTAACTCGATGTTTTTTTTATTTATTTATTTATTTTTTTTTTTTTGTATGGATTTTGTAAGGGGAAAAAAGGAAATAGGTTGGAAGGAAGTCAATTTTTGGGGTTGTGATGGAAATTGTTTGGTTGTGATGATTAATTGGTACGCACGTGAGTAGGTGGGCACGCATGCGGCACTCAAGATAATATTTAATTAATAATAAAATATTATATGAAATTAAATAAAAAAATTAAATATTTGAATTATTTATTGTAGAATTAAAGACTAAAATAAAATATTTAAAAAAGAATTTTATGGGTGAAAATAATAATAATTTTAAAAAATTATTATTTAAGAATGAGGGGCAGGGAAAATAGCGGTCAACCTCTTTGTATGGGAAGGGAAGGTCCAAGAAGACTGGGGCAGGGTGAAAAGGTCAGGCGGCACGTGCATGAAAAGAGGTGGAAGTGAAGCCAAAGGTGTTCAGTGGAGGAATCTGCACGTGATGAGAGAGAAACAAACTTCGAAATGGCATTTAGCTGTCAATCCCTCCAATACTCTCTCACGGGGCACCGTCCTCCTCCTGCCCAAACTGACCCAAAAAAAAAAAAAAAAAAAAATTTAAAAACCCGAGACTCGTAATAAAGATCTATTTAAATTAAATCTATTTATTCGTGGGCTGAATAACGAATTTTATCGTATAATATATGTGACACTCGAGTAAATTAGTAATATATGAATGAACTAACATCACATTCATTTTAGGTGAGAAATTTTAAAAACCTGAGAAAAATTTAAAAAAATTAAAAAATAGATGGAAAAGAAATATTTTCAAATAAGGACAAAATTTGAATTACTCATGCAAAAAGTAAAAAAAAAAAAAAAAAAAAAAAAAAAAAAAAAAAAAAAAAAAAAAAAAA